TTTTTTGTCTCTGCCTGAGCGGTAGGTGATTGGTGACATGTTTGATCATGGGGGATACCAGCCAGCCCACTCACATAGATATCATCCCAATACCCTAGAATTAGATGGGAACATGAAGAAAAACTGGGTTTCAAAAAATTCCATGATGAACTATTGTGGCATGACTCTCCATTTCGAAGAGAAAGCTGGTTGGAAGGAATGCCAAGTTGAGAGAGTAGAGGAGTGTGCTATTCCCGATTGAAAGAAAAAGAGGGAAGCGATGTATTTTCACACCAGCGGTTATGACTAAAGCCGGACACAGGGCTCCAAATAATGAGGCACCATGTCAGTGGGAATGAGGGAGAGAATAACTGAGTCATGGGTTTGAAGCCAAGGGATAGGAAGATTCCCAGGCACTGACATGGGCATCATCCGCTATAACTCCTCCATAATGGCCTAATTGAGGACAGCAATTGAAGGCTCTTAAGCAGCCAGATTTGTGACAACTAAACGGTGATTTTGATATTAAAGGTGGCCAGGAGCCCTGCAAACAGCATCTGGTACCAGTGATGGAGATGATTACGTTTCACTAAACCCACTCTCCGGCGACAGTGTAGGAAACGAGAGCACAGAATTCAGTGAATGGGTAGATGGACCATATGAACTGGGGTTGGGAGAAAGAGATGCTGCACTAGAAGGTAGAATAAAAAATAGGAGCGATGAGTGATGCCACAACGGATGAACAGAAAATTAGTCACTTTGATAAGTTGTAACTTTGTGCTCACTGACGATGCCGACTACGATGCTGGCGAAACGTCTGTGAATGTACCAAGTCAATGGTCCGATACTGGAAATCATGAATACGCTGGCAGAAGACAAAGGACCCGGTACGCTACACAGGGTCTCCCTGACTCTCCTAACAAGTTGGGAAAACGAGTTCCAACCAAAAATACAAAACTAAAAGAGACTGCGACCAAGCAGAAGGCCAGACCATCTTGGTCTTCACATCTACGACTTAAGAACTGAAGTTGGAATTTTCACATGATGATGAGGGTAGTCCTGCTGAATGTGAATTACTCACATCGATAATTAGTAACCTTGTCAATTCTCATGGTAAGTAACTACATCTTTGCCTTAACGACAGACTCGGGAAAAACTCCACTCACATTAAGTCCTGTACTTAGCTTAAGCGATTTTTTAATGGCTAAATTTGTATTCATGAATTACTGTAGATCTCGAAACATGCTTGCATAGGAATGAAATGTCTTCTTTTCTCTTGAAGTTACTTGCCTTAGTTGTCCTCCAACTGGCGGTTAAGGTCAACTTGGTGTGGTTGTTCTGCCAGGCAACGAACTGCAGGTCAGGCTTGCTGATGTCCGACCAAAACCGATTTCGCGAACCAACAGTCCTTATGATGTACTTTCTCTCTTTAGGCCAAGACTCCCGGACCGACTCGGTCAGGTCTCTGGGCCCAGAATGTCCCAGCTCCTTTTGCCAAGCTGGTTCGTCCCACCGACTGTCAGACGCTTCAAGTGTAATCAAACGAGTGCATTCATCGCCTCCAGCCTCGCCGGCAGACGCGACGTTGTTGGTCGACAGTTGGGACTCGGTTATCGAGCCCTGGCGCGGCGTGAATATGCCGTCTCCGCGGGTATCAGTCATGCCGAACTCGCTGACCTTCACGAGAGGCCTCGAGACCGCAAAATCTACAGGCGCCGGGTCCAGGTCGAGGACGTCTTCATCAACTGGCCAGGTTGTGCGGGTAGGATGGGTCGGCAAAGTCGTCATAGCCTCGCCGGCAAAGAGGTTGAGCTTCGGGCTGGTGCCATTTTGCAGACGATGCATGTCTTTAATTTGCAGTTGACCACTGCTCCGACCAGAGACGGGGTCTTCTGAATGAAGAGGGTCAAGTTTGGCCTAGACCAACTCAGCACAGCTTAGAAGATGAGCTCCAAAATGAGATTGTGAATAAGAAAACGTGTATTTTCACCTAAAGTCGGCTCACTTAACAGCAGATTGGTATAAATGCTTTGTAATTCCCTCCTACCTGACTGTGTATGTTCATCTCCTAAATTGTCCGTTTGTTCGCTTTTTTACATTTTTACTTTCAGGCATAGAGGAGATTTCTCGTTTGTCCTTTGTTGCTGTTTGTCTGTTTCTGCATCCATTCAGCTAACTTTTATCCGTATGGCTATTTGTAAAGGAGAAAAAGTACAAAAAAATGATGAGGATGAGACGAGGAGGTCTTGAGTTTACTGTGAAACAGTCCTTTGCCTCGACCTTGTCCTTCATTTTCTGCCGCTCGACCCATGCGATGCAACTTGATGAGGAGGGGAGGGAAGTTGCATAACGGGAAACCTATCATGCAGACAAACAAGAAACTTGGCCAATCAAAAAGCTTGGCCCAGTTCCCTAGAACCGCATGGGCTGTCCGTTATAATATTTCCCTTCCCCAATAAGTAATTCGGCTGAACCCTATTTGGATACGGAACCAAAAATATTATTTGTTTATTGTCAAATGTTTGGTTCTCATTTACTGTAATAACATTAAAAAAACTTTATCAATGGCAAATTGTAATAACATGTCATCATTAATAATGGCAGTGCTGAGGCAAATTAAATTCAGATATCCAATTGCGAAGCTGGCTGTATGGCATTGAGAGTACAGAGAGTGCTCACTTATCCGCAGAAACGCTGATATCCTGGTAACTATAGCAGCAGGTGTGTGATATATGAGGAAAACTGATGAAAGTGGAGCAGCAATATGAGGGATGGTTGATTCATAAAGACCTGGATGAGTTGTTTTTGCTCAAAGAAAATCCCTATTGCAAACAATTTCTGATTCTTGTGTAACCCTGTCTTTTGTTTATAAGAAGGGTTTTGTTGTTACCAGTCGACAATGCCACTAGAAAAATGTGATGTGGAAAAAAAACATGTCTTCGTTGAATAATTTTTCTGCTTTTGGACTAATGGCAGTATTTTGTAGTAGGTAAAGTGTCGAGAGTATACGCTGCATTGCCTAGATTCGAATCCGGCTGGGGGTTGTGATGAAAGACCTAGGCGAGGTAGAAACTGCAGTCCAGTCCAGTCTGGATGAGATTACCTATTGGAAAGAAAAGATACATGAAATTAAGTGGAAATGTAAGGCCTACTCGTTTGATTGTGGGAAATTCAACTACTAGACCTCCATCAAACAGAAGCGGAATAGGATGAATACGGCTCTTGTATAACTCTGTCTCATGAATCAAATAGTGTAAGTGCCGGCCTTTGCTTTATATGCAAAGAATAACTGGTCTTCCTGCACTCTGCTTAGAAGGCGATTTCAACTTCGACTATAGATATTATTGTGAAAATTTATATTTCGTATGAAAGTGCAAGAAGAAGTGATTCCTAGATCAGCTGATTCCGGTTGTTCTGCAGCCGTATGGCTTCAATACGGCCTTCATGTTGACGCAGTCCAGAAGACACCCTTCCTAGTCTTGGATAAAATTAGGCAGATTTTTCATCATTTCCCCTACGGACACGGACTGAGTTCGAACTAATACTTGCAAAAGCATCAGATTAACCCTAAATAAAAATTGCTATCCAGCTATACCTCACAATTTCATAAGAATACCTAATAAGAATCTAACGCGCATCATGACGTTGATTTTTATTGAGCTAGTGTTAAATAGAGGCTTGTGCAAGAATGCAGTTCAGATCCGACGAAAAGCCCAAAACCAAAAAGTAGGAGGATTTCTCGTGGACTACACCAACCTGAAATTCCTATTTGAGCCATACAACTACAGAATAAAGGGCAGCAACAAGCAACATTCGAGAAAATCAAACTACGAATCTCATCATGTCAAATCGAAGAGATGAAGACCAAGATGGTGTGGCCTCCAGTATAGTCACAGTCTTAATTCGATGTATAAAAGTGAACTGACCTCGTAGTCGCAACTTGGTCTTGTTTACAGGGCAACGCCGTTAAACTCACCTTGTCTGGAGTCCTCTGCAATAGTATTTGTCATAATTCCCATCATCAGACAATGGACTTGGTACATTCTCAAAGGTTTTGCAAACATCGTTATCAGCATCATCAGTGAGTGCTGACATTCTCTGCACCAAGCTACGAACTCGTCAAAGAAACAAGTAAGGTCAATCCCTCGATAAACGTTTTGCCGAAAACGGTTACACTAACACTCCTCTTTCTGTCCTAGCCTATCTATCTACTCTTTACCCTCTTATGTCACATAAATTCGGCATTACGGCCAAAATGCGCTGGAAATCCACTTGAGATGCTGCAGGCGACCAGGGACGAGTCTCCACAGTTCGCTTAGCTGATACGGGTTTAATCAAGCAGACGATCCGTGAAGGCAAGGCCTAAAATCTGTTAGCATAGCAATCATAGCCTAGGCGGTCTGCTCGGTGAGGCGGCAGTGCACGTGATTCTAGAGGCTTGAGAAATAGCGCCTGAAATAAAAGATACATTTGGACTGGAACCGAGTGAAACCGATAAACCATGAGGGAGATCCGGACATGAGACCCAAGTCGCATTAGCTGACAGAAAGAGAGGGGTTCGGATGAAAAGCAGGTGTGATGAGGCCAAACTATATTGGCCACAAAAGGGCACACATTTTGATGAGTGAAATGTAAACAAGTTAGAAGTTGTGATAGGGCGGCAGTGGGATAAGAGGGTAAAGAGTAGATAGATAGGCCAGGACAGAAAGAGGAGTGATAATGCAATCATTTTCGGCAGAACGTTTTGTCGATGGATTGACTTCACTTGTCTTTTTGATGAGTTCGTAGCTTGGTGTGGAGAATGGCAAAACTCACTGATGATCAGACTACGATGCCGGCGAAACGTCTGAGAATGTACCAAGTCGATTGTCTGAAACTGGGAATTATGATAACTACTATGACAGAGGACTTTGGACTAGGTTCGTTCTTCTGAGTCGCCCTGACAAGACCAAGCTTCGACAACACCTTCACATTGCTTGTTAGTTATTCCCTGCTACACATAAAAATCACAGTCTTGCTGATTGAAATATGGCCACTTATGAACATTTAATTTTCCTCCCTGTTCACGTAATTTACGAGGATTTAAGGCTGGTGCTTATCATGTTTAGGTATCTTCTTCTCCCTAGGCTTCAAGCCCTTGACCTAAATGTCCTCTTTCCTATCCCCAGTCCACTTTAGCTGATTCATCAAGGCCTGTCTCTAGCTAAATTCTGACTTATTGGTCTGCAGAATGAACGCTTTCCCTTTACACTATTTAGTCTTATAAAGCACACTTCTTTTGTCTTCCAAGTTGACCGTCACACCTAATCCTAAGATTTCAATGAGTTATCCATGTGTACGTTGGGTGGTATCTTCCATAATCAGACATGATACCAGTAGCATCTCATTAAGGCACCCACAGGAAAAAAATGCATATAAGCACACACAAAAACGCTTATACTGGTTACAAACTGATATTATACAACCAAGGTCGGATTCCACACCCTAATGAATTAAGTCTGGACAGATATAGTTGGCCTAGCATTTCTAATGGAGTACCATCTGCATAGCTCTAGCCATTATTTCCTATCGCCCAGCCCACAGGTGAGCACACATTGGTAACTTTCCGTCTGATTTTAGGTTTGACTTCTGTCACTGCAATCGCCTTTTATTGACTTCCCTTTTTCCCTCAAGATTCTATTCCCGGCGATGTATCTTACTGCTGTTGAATTGATGCTAGTGGTCCAAACATCTTTTAGCTTGCCTATCTGAATATTTAAGACAGCCCGGGCAGTTCGAGCAATTTTAGCTGACTCTTCATCCTTCCAATCTTCTGTTAATCAGGTTTATTTAAAATAAGATTTCCACGGCCTCCCTGAACTTTCATTTTTTGGTGTTCGTCCCATATGAAGCCAGTATTTCCGTGACAGTCCAGTCAATTATGTGACAGGTTAGGGAAATTTAATTAATTTTCTACGATCTTTCCGTATCCATTTTTCTGAATAGTCTTTGCTGCCACTTGATTTTTGTGCTGATTGCCCTTTCATTTTCATCAATGTATTTTCGATTACATTCCTTGCACTTTATGCTGTAGAACATTAAGCATCACATTTTATTGACCTTCTTATATTGTGTGGGCAAGCCTGTAAAGAGGGTTGTCCTTTATTTCAGGGTTGTACGAATGTTTCATTTCAATACTAATGATCGCAGCTTCCCAATCAGTCCAATAAAATTGACATTTTAACCGTCTTTTCACTGTTTTTCCTACTGCCATCTTCTAAAAAAGGTCCGCATGTTGCTTTGTAGTACTACCTTTGGATATCCTTTTCCAAGAATTATCTGAGTTAGTTTTTTTCAGTTTATCTTTCCAGAATTCAGAATTAATTAGTCGTAGGCTTTTTATGGCCATACTCCTGAGCATTCCTAACTGTATTCCGTAAGTATGGTGAGATTTTAATTTAAGTATTATTTATTCTTATGATTTCCTTCGGAAAAACCGTTATTGAGAGTTTATTCGGAGCAAATGACCTCTAGATCCTAGAAAGATAAGTTTCCGTTACTTTCCATATCCATTATACATTTGACTTTTTCAGCTAAGTCATTTATGAAGATCAGGAAATCGCCATATTCTTAATTTTCATGTGTAAAGAAGTAATCCAAATATCGGATAATTGGCTGCCA